GCTTCTCCCTCTGACCCTCCCCCTCTCATGCTCTCTCTATCTCATTCTCTCTCTCAAATAAATAAATAAAATCTTTAAAAAATAAAATAAAATAAATAAATTATTGTGAACTTTACGTCATTGAATGCCTAAATGGATCTAGACTGTTTGTAATATTAAATGATCTAATCCTGTGAATTCAAGAAAATCCTTTAACGCATTTGTGCTTCAAGGGCAGTTTTCCCAATATCCACTGCCCCTTATGGATGATCTCAATGCTAGTAAAAATGTTTACTTGCCCTCCTTATAGAATTGTTCAAATTTATAGATTGCAGTTCATGGAAAATGGTTGGTTAGGTAATGCTTGGCTCCATGGTCTTGAATACAAAAGGGCAGTGTACAGAGAAATTGTTTTCTCTGTCCTTTATACTCAAAATATAAATATTTCTGTCTACCTATTCAAACATTACCATGTTGTCAGTGAACATGATTGTATGGGATACAGCCCTTAGTTTAAGAGTAAAAACATACTATTAAGCAAATGGATATATTGATGTCTTAAAGGTAAATGGCATCTTAAAGGTAAGCCTGCACTTAATTAAAACAGTATTTATTTACAAACCACACTATTAAATACTGTGAAAAAAAATGGAGAAAAAGTAGATTACAGGCTTTTATGCTCAATAGTTTATAACAACTTCTAACCTAGTCTTCAGTGGAATGAACCCTACATGTAAATTGCTACTTGACTGTAATTACAAGCAACATGCCAATGTGTGCAAATTAATACACTAAGACTTACTGGTAAAGGGAAACAATTAGAGAGTGAGCAGAAGGCAGTGATTTATCTGGAAAGACATGATGGAGGAGGTGATTTTGATAGCTGAGGACATTTTCCGAGAGTAGGGCTTTTCAACCCTGGCTGCATATTAGAATTACCTAAGGAAATTTTTAAAATAATACCCATGTCTGTGCCCATCCTCCAGAAATTCTGATTCAATTGGTTTTGAGTAGGACCTAAATATTGGCAATTTTAAAATCACCTCAAGAGATTCTAATATGCAGAGAGGACTAATAACCTTTGATATAATAGTTGGTGGGACTTCATTGTCAGGCCTGTTATGGACCTGAAATGGGGGGAATTTATATTAGATGACCTCTCAGGTACCTCCTTCCTCTAGGATTTTATGACACATTTTCAGAATCAGAGGGGGAAGCTGACGGGTTATGAGTGGAATTGACAAGTGGACTGAATTGGTTGGAGCAGAGATGCCTTAGTGAGAAAAACTAAAAGATGATCCTAGAGAGATGTGGTGGGTAATCACCGGGTAGCATGGCTTAAATGCTAAATTGATGATTATAGGTTTCAAGTCATAGAGTTTTAGCCACAAAATGCCCTTTGAAATGATGTATTTAATCCTAATTCTCAATGCAGCTGTCCCTTCTCAGTATTACCAGCAGATCTATAGAATCAGCAAAACCAGGTTATTCAGCCTATTTGAACATTTTAAAGTAGGACAACTACCGTAGGGAAAATAGACTTCATAAACTTTAGAGTTCAAAGACTTGAAATAATTAAAATTAAAAAAGATTATTTTAGTAGCAATATGTACAGAATAATATGAAAAAGTTACCAAAGCTGGAGACAGATGGTAAGCTTTAAATAAAATTGGAGTCTGTAAAGTTACAATTTGATAAAAAAATTTGTGTAGGATCATCAGTTTGTATCAGAAAGTTGAAACTCTAGAGACAAATTAGATAATAGTAAATCATATGTTTATTTGTAGCTATATGTTAATTTAGGGGAGAAACATCTAACATGTTTATAGTTACAATATACCAACTTGTTTAAACAAACAAGTTTGAATAAACAAATCAGGTAAAAAGTTCTTCATGTGTTTAAGCTCTTCAAGTAAGCCACGTGTCTAATCTAGTAATTTTTTTTCATATTTTCTTTTCCAGACTTTTATAGTATTGAATAAAGGGAAGGCAATTTTCCGATTCAGTGCCACCTCTGCCTTGTATATTTTAACTCCGCTAAACCCTGTTAGGAAAATTGCTATTAAGATTTTGGTACATTCATATCCTTTTCATGTGACTGAATGCTGGTACTTGATTTTATAGAAAATGTCATTCTTCTATATATATTTTTGTATATTTATATTTTACATATATTGTTTTATATATTATATGTAATTTCTTTCAGATTAATGGTGACATTATTTAATCTGTTCTCATTGATTTTTCTGCCATTCATAAAAAGATTAGTATAGAATGACTATTATGATTCTAGAAGTAAAAATGAACTATGTTAGTGAACGTGTAAATGAAACATACTGTGTAGAAGGAAAAACAAATCTACTTCACACTTTTATTATCCTCTAGACCATACATAACTATTGCTAAAGAAATGAAGTCTATTGTGGTTAGTATTATTATCTATGTTACCAAATGTTCACACTTTTATGCCTTAATTGGTTCTATATCTTCAGCACATGGGTCTGTTCTTCCTTCCTTCCTTTACTATTTTTTAAACTATATATGTGCCTATATATCTGATAATATATATTCAAAAATCACTGAACTTAAGACTACTTACAATAATAGTCAAAAACCATACAAAGACAGAATGGGTGTGGATTTCAAGAAAATTCTCCAATAAGTAATGATAAAATAGAAAGGTATTCAGAGGCTGTGTTTAACAATGGGCATTTTTTTTGTTTTTATTTAAATTCCTATTAATTTAACATAAAGTGTAATATTAGTATCAAGTGTAAAATTTAATGATTCAACACTTCCATACAACACCCAGTGCTCATCACAAATGCACTCCTTAATCCATCTCCCACCCACCTCCCCTCTGGTAACCATTAGTTTGTTCTCTGTAAGTAAGAGTCTATTTCTTGGTTTGCCTCTTTTTCCTCCTATGATCGTTTGTTTTGTTTCTTAAATTCCACATATGAGTGAAATCATATGGTATTTGTTCTTCTCTGACTTATTTCACTTAGCATTATATCCTCTAGCTCCATCCATGTTGTTGCAAATGGCAAGATTTCAATCTTTTTTATGGCTGAGTAATATTCCTGTGTGTGTGTGTGTGTGTGTGTGTGTGTGTGTGTGTACACACCACATCTTCTTTATTCATTCATCAGTTGATGGACATTTGGGCTCTTTCCATAATTTGACTATTATAGATAATGCTGTTATAAACATTGGGGTGCACGTATCCCTTTGAATTAGTATTTTTGTATTCTTTGGATAAATACCTAGCAGTACAATTGCTGAATTGTAGGGTAGTCCTATTTTTAACCTTTTGAGGCACCTCCATATGGTCTTTCAGAGCAGCTGTACCAGTTTGCATTCCCACCAACAGTGTAAAAGGGTTCCCCTTTCTCCACATCCTTGCCAACACCATTTGTTTCTTGTGAGATGTTATCATTTTTTTCTTTTTCAAATTTTTATTTAAATTCTGGTTAGTTAACATATAGTGTAATATTGGTTTCAGGAGTAGAATTTAGGGATTCATCACTTACATATAATACCCAGTGCTCAACACAAGTGCCCTCCTTAATACCCATCACCCATCTAGCCCATTCGCCACCCACCTCCCTTCCATCAATCCTATAGTTAAGAGTCTCTTATGGTTTCCTTCCCTCTTTTTCCCCCTTCCCCTATGTTCATCTGTCTTGTTTCTTAAGTTCCACATATGAGTGAAATCATATGGTTGTCTTTCTCTTATTTCGGTTAGGATAATACACCCTAGCTCCATCCACACCATTGCAAATGGCAAGATTTCTTTCTTTTGATGGCTGAGTAATATTCCAGTGTGTGTGTGTGTGTTTGTGTGTGTGTACCTACCAATCTTCTTTATCCATTCATCAGTTGATGGACATTTGGCTTCTTTCCATAATTTGGTTACTGTTGATAATGCCGCTATAAACATAGGGTGCAGGTGCTCCTTTGAATCAGTATTTTTTTTTTTCCTTTGGGTAAATACCTAGTAGTGCAACTCCTGGGTCATAGGGTAGTTCTAGTTGTAACTTTTTGAGGAACCTCCATACTATTTTCCAGAGTGGCTACCCCAGTTTGCATTCTCATCAAGAGTGTAAGGGTTCCCCTTTCTCCACATCCCCAACAACAACTGTTGTTTCCTGTGTTGTTAATTTTAGCCATTCTGACAGGTGTGAGGTGATATCTCATTGTAGTTGATTTGTTTTTCCTTGATGATGAGTGATGTCAAACATATTTTCATGTGTCTGTTGGCCATCTGTATGTCTTCTTTGGGAAAATGTCTATTCATATCTTCTGTCCATTTTTAATTGGATTATCTGTTTTTTAGGTGTTGAGTTTTGTGAGTTCTTTATACACTTTTTTCTTTGTTTTTGTTTTTTAAGTATGTTATGTTAATCACCATACATCATTAGTTTTTGATGTAGTGTTCCATGATTCATTGTTTGCATATAACACCCAGTGCTCCATTCAGTACATGCCCTCTTTAATACCCATCACCAGGCTAACCCATCCACCCCCCCCCCTCCCCTCTAGAACCCTCAGTTTGTTTCTCAGAGTCCATAGTCTCTCATGGCTCATCTCCCTCTCTGATTTCCCCCCCTTCATTTTTCCCTTCCTACTATCTTCTTTTTTTTTTAACATATAATGTATTATTTGTTTCTGTGAGGTGTACCTCTTTATAAATTTTAGATACTAATCCTTTATCAGATATGTCATTTGCAAATAATCTCCCATTCCGTAGGTTGCCTTTTAGTTTTGTTGATTGTTTCCTTTGCTGTGCAAAAGCTTTTTATTTTGATAAAGACCCAATAGTTTATTATTGCTTTTGTTTCCCTTGCTTCAGGAGACATTATCTAGTAAGAAGTTGCTATGGCTGATGTCAAGGAGATTACTGCCTGTGTTCTCCTCTAGATTTTAATGGTATCCTGTCTCACATTTAGGTCTTTAATCAAGAATGGGAATTTTATACAGATAGATTAAAAAAAGCCTTAGGGGGGCAGAGCAAGATGGTGGAGGAGTAGGAGACCTGGATTTCGTCTGGTCTCAGGAATTCAGCTAGATAGGGATCAAACCATTCTGAACCCCTACAAACTCAACAGGAGATTGAAGAAAAGAATAGCAACAACTCTCTGAACAGAAAAGCAACCACTTTCTGGAAGGTAGGACGTGCGGAAAAGTGAATCCGAGGCGATATTCGGGAGGATAGACAGCGGGGGAAGGGGCCTCCGTCAGCTGCTTCTGGCAAGTGATAGACCGCGGAGCAGAAAATCGGAACTTTTAGAAGTCTGCTCCACTGAGGGATGTCGCTCCGGTGGCTAAGCGGGGGGTGGAACCCTCAAGGGACAGTGTGGTCTCAGGACCCTCAGGGTCACAGAAAGACGGGGGGTGCCTGAGTGTGGCAGAGCTCCCAGGTATCGGAGCGGGGAAGCCGGCTGCAGAGACGGAGCCAAAGAGTGGGCTCTCAGCTCAGGGTTGCCATAAACTGTGATCCACGGCACAGTCGGGCCACTGCTCTTCCAGCAGGGACACAAGCGGCAGATCCGGGGAGACTCCCCTTCCTCCCCTG